TCTGTCCGCACATGTCCTGAGCTGCTGGCTGCAGTGGCACAGCTGGCCAGCCAGCAGTGCCAGGCTTTGGGGCCTCTGTGTGTGCGGGCTGCTGGTAAGCCCCAGTACCGGGTGATGGCCCGGGCAGGAGGGCCTGGGCCCCACGGGACACGGCACGGTGGCACCCCCTCGGCACTGTGAAGCTCTGGCTCAGCCAGCCCTGCCAGCGTGGGGCTGTGGTGCCTGCAGCCTCGGTGTGGGGTAGGTATCCGCCTTCTGCCCTCCTGGCTGCCCTTGTGCTAATGCCTGGCTGAGCGGGGATCACAGGAGTGCCGGGGCAGCAGGTCTGGGTGCATGCCATGGGCAAGGATCCCCAGCACCAGGAGGGAGCTGTCTGTCCTCTAACCACAGTAAGAGGAAGATAGAAGTGTTTTAGGGCTCAAAAAAGAGTTTGGGGTGTTTGCTGTAGATAGCAGCATTGCTCGTGCTCTTGTTATTTATTGGTGGCACAGTGCCCAGCTCTAAACCTGTCTTGCTAGGTCCTGTGGGTCAACGTATGAACAGTTTCATTTAATAGCTTCAAATGCCTGAATTTCTCTTGCTCTGCACAAGAACAGAGCACTTCTGAAGGTCAGCCTGATAATGCAAACGGTTACAGTCTTCCTGGGCAGGAAAAATAAGTGGAAGTAAAACTCTCTTCCTAAAGAGGATTTTGCTAATCTTCAGCTGGCCTTGCCAATGCCCTCCAAGGCTCCTGGCCTTGCTTTGGGGCTTAAGCAAGAGCTGAGCAAACCAACTTCTTTTTAAACTTCAGCACTGGCCATGTTGATCCATCTTTAATGGAGCCAAAACGCATGTCCCCACAGGGTGGGAGATGCTGCAGTAATATCTAAGGAGAGCTCACCTGGCCCTTCGGTGATGGTTAACCTCACAAAGCACTGGTGGCTAGCATGGAAATGTCCCATAACAGAACCGGGCAGGAGCTGCATCCTCTTTCACCAGGCACCCAGTATGAAACATGAGGCCCTTTTGCTTTGAGAGGCAAAATCATTTAATGGCTGGATTTAGCTTTACTAAGAATCAGCTTTCTAGTGGGAAAAGAAAATCCCTCTGGTGCCTGGAAAGGGCAGCTTTTACTGGGCGAGGTAGAAGAGAGAGGATTTAGCAATGCCATGGTTATTAAGACCTACAGGCTGCGGTTGGTGTCATGACGCTGAAGCCAGAAGCCTTGAGGGCTGGAGGCAGCTGTGGTGCAGAGCAGGCGCTGGGCTCCCCAGGGCTGGGAGAAGACACATCTTGTGGGCTGATGGCACCTGGCAGAGGTATGGGTGCCTGGCCTGGGCTCTGCTGTGGTGTTACTGGTCTCTGAGTGCGCAGCACAGCATGTGGTCAGCTCAGGTGTGTGGTTGTATCCTCACATGCATCTTCCCCTTCCCACGCCAGCTCCTGTTCTGGTAGGAGCCATGGTACTGGGCAGGAGGAGCAGTGCATGGCTGCAGCGTGCTCTGCAGCCCGGAGGGGTAAAAACCAGCCTCCTACAGAAACAAGGTGGTTAGCGGCTGAGCTGCCAACCCCGAGCACGGTGTGTCTCGTACATGCAAAGCTCGCTGCGCAGACCTGGAAGCTGCCCCCCCTCCCCGTGCTTCTGAGCAGGGTGGTCGGCAGGCTGCGGGGCGCAGGACGAGAGGCACCCCGTTCCCGGGCAAGGGACAGCAGCCTGACCCTGTGGGGTCCCAGCTGTCTTCCACAATGTAGTATGTCATCTGTGTGCACACAGGTGGGAACTTCACTGCACAGGTTTCAGCACCTTGTTTTATTACAAAGATAGGCTTTTCCAAGAGTCTGCCACTTCCACTACACAGCAGGTAAGGGCACTACACCCACAACACTTGCCAAAGTTTAAAAACATGTTACAAAGGGCTCGGGGGTTCAAGGCAACACTACAAACCCTCAAGCTTCTGCTCCATTAAAGTTGTTTCTTTAAAACGGTTGTAGCAACTACTTTTTTGCTTTGGAAAAAATTAAATAATAAAGCAATAGGCCCAAATACATGGCCCAGTCACATCACCTGGAGGTAAACTACACTATCAGCTCACCTTTATCCTTTCCTTGTAACATCATGGGGCTGTGCTCCATGCTCTTTCCCCACCTCTAGCCAAGCTCAACGTTCTCTGCTACCTTGGTCCTTCTCACCCTCACCTTCCCTGTGCTGGGCCTGCCTATATCTCTGGCAGCTATTCACAGTTTCTAAAGGAAAAAAAAATTCAAGATTTTTTTTTTGTGAAATCACTTTCAAAATAAAATGTAGCCCAGCTACATTCTTAGAGTTTCTATTCTGAAGTCACACCCTCAGCAAAGACATTGAAACCTCCACAGTGTATGTACTTTTTCTGTAGTTCTCTTTAAAAAAAAAAAAAAACAAACAAAAACCCCCAAAACTCTGTTCTTCCCCTTTCTCTCCCCTCCCTCTCCCTCCCCTCCCCCCCTTAACATACTGGATAAAGTCTATCATTTGTTTTAAAATAGATATCTATGTACACATACACAATTCTGATGTTCTGATTTTTGACAAATGTGGCGTTACTGGAAATGATAGGACGGAGGCCACCTGTCCATGGCAGTGAGTCACCCAGGAGGCGTTTTGGTGGACCAAAATCATCTAATACCAGGTTGCATCCTTGCCAGCTGGATGAGTAACGGAGGCTCACCTTAGACCCTGCCTGGAGTGAGGTAGTAACTTTTTCCTTTTTTGTTTTGTTTTGTTTTGTTTTGTTTGTTTGTTTGTTTGTTTGTTTTTTCTTTTTTTCTTTTCTATTTGGCAGTTTGAAAATGCAGTGGCTACGTCTGAGTTTAGCTTTCGTGGGCAGTTTGCCTTTGCCTGCATGTGAATGCTGGCTTCAAGCACGCAGCATTAGCTGTGGTCCAGCCTCTACAGAGGGGCCTGTGTGATGCTGGAGAAGACCGGAGCGGTCACGGCTCCCTGGCTGCAGAAAGGATGAAGTTGCCAGCAGAAAGGAGGATGGGCCACCAAGCTGGGATGGGGGGTTTGCCCCAGCGCAGATAACACGGGATGGCAGGGAAGTTTCCAGGTCTGCGCAGTGGACCCTGCTCGCTGATGGCAGTGTATGGAGGTGTGGGACACTCCTGCCTTCGCTTGCAGCTTGGGGTGGGGGAGCTGCTCTGCTGGCCTCTGGGAGCGAGAGCATTGTGCTGCCGGGGGACGGGGTCCAGTCCCTTTGCCTTTATGGGCTGAAAAAAAAGACTGGATACGCAGCAAAACTGCGCGCTCTTGGTTGCTCTCAGGTGACAGCCATGGTGGGCTGGGTCTGAAGCAAGCAGAACAAGCTGTTTTAGGAAGACACCTCTGTAGCACTGACCTTGTTTTCAGTGATGATCACAGGGAGACACACGTGGGACAGAGGGAGGGAGATGAGACCTGGTGTTCTGCCTTGCGCATGGGTCAAGGCCGTTCTGCCAGAGGCCCGTCAGCCCGAGCTAACCAACCCCTGTTGGCATGAGGGGCGTCACTGGGGCTGAGCTGTGGCACTGCCACAGATGTGTCTGCGGCCAGCGCGGCAGGGAGACCGGAGCGCGAGGCAGAAGTCCTTCCCCTCACCCACTACATCTGGTCATCTGCTGCTAGGCAGAAGCCATGCCTGTGACCAGCTGGCTGAAAGGTGGGTGGTTAGGGGCTACTTGCCTACCCACCGCAACTCCAGCTCACTGCGCACGCAGGTCTGGCAACCTGGGGGAGGGGGAGCAGCCCTTCCCAAACTGTCTAACACATAACATGCTCCCTGCGGCTCCGTAACGGCTATCTCCATTAGGGGATAAAGTGCTTTCACCATGCCTTAGCTACTTGGGAAGCAACTGCTTTGTCTCAGCCCCGAGTTCCCCGTGTTGCCCATGACTCAGGTGGAGGACTGGTTCTGTTTACACATACAGTACAAAAATTAAAAGGCACAAAAATACACAGAATGCAGCAGATAGATAGTGAATAGTTGATAGAGTCCCCGGTGTTGGAAAAACAAGGATGTCAGAGGGATGGTGTGGAAGGGAGCTCAGGCATTGCTCCAATGGCCTTTGCTGTCTCCGCTTGTTACTCCCTGACGCTACCCTTCTGCTTTGCGTCTATTGTTACGGCTTCTGCAGCCTCATCTCTTGTCCTGAGGAACCACAAACAGGGATGCAGGGAGCCACTGACCACTTGGGCTGATCAGAGGGAATGGTGAACTGAGCTTGCCACAAGCGTCACATCTCCATTTCTGGCTGGCAGCAAATAAATTATGGGTGCCACAGTGCAGACCAGAGGGTTTTTGAGCTGCTTGGAAAGGTGTCTTGTGGCTTCTTAGCTGAGGAAGCCCTTCAGCCACAGGCCAGGCCCATCCCCACCACAAGGCTGGTTTGAGAATGATCCTGGCGGAGGAGACCCACAGTGTATCCACGGCTGAAGGCAGGTTCCCTACGGCATGACGCTGCGGAGACGGTCACTTCCAGGGCTGCAGTCAGGTCAGTCTAGGCTTCGCTGCAGCACTCGTAGATGTTATCCTCCATGAGTGCAATCACTTGCTCAAACTTGTGCTGGAGCTGGGTGCGCTTTGTCGTGGGGTTGGCGTCCAGGGCGGCCACGATCTGCAGGAGACGCAGGCAGGTGGGGCTGAGGCACCGCGGGCAGCGCTGCCCACCCGCCAGCCCTGTTGAGCCCAAATCCCAGCTGGACCTCTGACAGGGAG